TGTTGATGCCTGAACAAACACAGTGTGTAACAGTGGCACCAACAATCAACACTGATGTCCATGATGAGGATCCCTCAAAGCAGTGAGTAAAAACTAAAAGTCTAGAAATGAGTGAAACAGTCAAAGTCCAGCATTCGACTTGAACCTCAGTCTTCTGGGTAAAATTCCAGCATTGATGCTGACAGCAGGTAGAATAAAGTAGCAGAGCTGTCTGCAACTCTTGAGGAGCGGAGACTCGGACAAACTAAGTGCAAACTGTGCCCAGGACAGACACACCTGCATCAAACCACCAACACAACAGCGGCTCTTTCCAAGTGTCTGCACAGACAGCCGGCTAGCAAAGAGCCCAGTGTGGTTAAAGCCGTCTGCCGAGCCCAGCAGCCGGAGCCTGAACTTCAGCAGTAACAAAGGCAGCGGGGAGCAGTCAGGACGGTTTCTACCTGTTCGTGTTTTTAGAGTACAATCACCATGGCGATCACTTTGAAGTCTCTTTGAGCTTCTGCTCATCTTCGCTTTGAGCCGTCGGCTTCGTGTTCTCACTTTGTTTTTCTTGGCAAACTCTGTACTTTTAGGTTTTACATTAAGAATAAGAACTAATTGAAATTCACACCATCTGCCTCATTTTAGCCTTTGTGTTTACAAGAAATGACTCCAAACGACTCCATCCTTCATTAGCTATACCCACTTAATCCTGTAGAGGGTCACAGGAGGGCTGGAGCCAGTCCCAGCTGACACTGATGGAGAGGAAGAGTGCACGATGGAGAGATGCTAGAGAAGGACACCCATTCACACTCAGATTCTCACCTACCTAATTTCTAATTGCAACTGAACCAAACAAACACAAGTTTGGAGTGTGAGAGAAAAGATTCACAGACACAGAGCTCAGCATGAAACTGTTTAGTCTGCTTATTGCTAAAACACCAGTTTTGCAAAATCCTGATGAAACACTTAGACCTGAACTCAAACAAGAAATCTGCAAACCCCAAAGCAGCAATCTGATGAAAGGCGCTTAAGCTTAAAAGGAGGAAATTTGAGTCTTCTGCTTCCTGAACTTTTAAAAACTGAACCGTTTTTAAAAAAAATGTTATTACTTTAGATTTCCTGACAATAAAACACTGTTTGCTGATGCCCAAAGCATGTAGGAGTCTTCAGTTTGCCTGTGGCGACTGCGAGGAGGGAAGAAAGGTTTCAGCTTCGAGTCAAAAAATCCCCACAGAGACACTGGGATGACTTTTGGGATGAAAACCAAAGAAAAGAGAGACGTCGCCTGCTGAGATCTAACCACATCACAAACCTCAGCCTCCACCTCAGAGGGATCCACGCAGGCTGGTGCTTTAGTTGCACCGATCAGAGCTCCTCTCAGGGCAAACAGTCTCAGAAGGTGAAGCATTATTTAGAAAGTTTAGAAAGTATTTAGAAAGCAGCTGTGACGCCGTCTCCTTTTCTGTCTGCAGTGCATGCTGGGAGTGTGAGTGAGTGTGTGAAGGTGGTTGTGAGCGTGTGGAGCTGTGGAGAGAGTTCGGGACGTTTGGACTGCGCTTCTTCTTTTGGATTTTCTTTTTTATACACGGTGCTTATTGGAAAAATGGGGCTTTGTCGTGTCGCTTCAGCCTGAATGAATCGTTGGAGAGAGAAGTAACAGACTTGTTCAAACACATCAGACTTCCTCATGCATCTCCCAGTTTCCATGTTCCTGTTTCCCAGAGCTCCTTCCCAGTTTAGGTTCCTGTTACTTCCCCTTGTGTATTTTTGGGGGTGCCTGTGTTTTCATCAGCTCTATAAAAGGGCTCACTTATGTTTAAACCTCCACCTGCCTCCGTGTCAGCACTCCTTCGTCACACACTGACATTGCGCTGCTGATGGTAACCTGGAAATAGCTCAACCTGATACGGACGAGGTGGCATTCCCCAAAAACTGATGCAAGATGCAAAATGAAGTTTTGTTTACCAAATACGTCATCAACGTGCGACAGTGGCAGAACATGGCTACGTCCAAATTCAAGGCTGATTACATCACAGCTAAGCGATGAAGGCTGTCCAAATTCCTCCAAATGCAATCTACAAATGCGTGCTCCTCTTCCCTGGATTTGAAGGACGGGTCGGGTGTATCCTTCGTGGCCCGCCCTATCCCAGGATTCATTGCAAATCTAAGGTTGAAGAAATTTCTGGGAAAAAATGGTGGACGGTTAAAGCAAAACTTTTAAAAGTAAGTACTGAGTAGAGAGATGAGCTGGAGGTAAACAGATTTGAATGTTTTGAAAGTCAGGCACTGAGGCGTTTATTTAGTTCCTGTGTGTAGGATCGGGGAGCTGTGACTGTACATATGTTAAACTGTCTCTTTGGTTATGTTTGCAGATGAAAAATGAAACCAATAAAGTTTGCTGAAGGTCTCCTCTCCTCTGTCATCTGAGCATCTCAGAGGAGCAGCTCTGGTCATTAGACTCTAACGCTGAGTCAGACTTGGCTGTGAAAACAAGCTGCCAAGGTCAACTTATTTCTGGACTGTTGGTGTGATGGGAGGATGAAGCCTATTAGCTAGTTTGTAATGATGATACAGAGAGAACCAGAATGGGGGAAAAGGGGCTGCTCACCGAGCTTCTTTCTTTCCCTGGAGGGAACACGTTCGCCTCGCTCAGACATCACACAGAGCCAAAAACGTCCTGTCTGCTAAACATCATCATCCTCACAGACTCAGCTCTACATTTATTTCCCCCAAACACTCATAAACGTGGCCTTTATCAGCCTCCTTATTGACATTACTGCTTCTTCATGTTGGCACTGAGATCTCTGCACGAATGCATAATTGATGGGTATTCGTCAGGCGGTGGTGTGTGTGGGGGGGGGGGTCATGTAATATTTACAGCAGCACACTGTGGCGTGGTGCTGTAAAGGTCCTGGGTTTGAATCCAGCCTGAAGACTTTCTCTGTGGACTTTGCTCTGCCTGTCACGGTGTGTCTGGCTACTCCCACCTCCAACAGTCCAAAGCCAAGCGTGGGGTTCGGTTAATTAACTCACTGCTGAGTTAGGCACCCCATAATGCCCCGTAACTCTCTAGATCCACAAAGACGCCGTAAAACACTCGAAACAAACATCTGTCGTCTCAGCACGAAGCCAAACTGCTGCTCGCTGATCTTCACCTGTTAACTCTTCCCTCCCACCCAGAGTCTGTCTCAAGTCCTTCCTGAACATCCTTCTGTCTTCAGCTTCCACCACATTAATCCTTGGCTCCTCGCTTCCTCTCCTTGGTGTCTAAAGTCATCCTACGGTCTACCATCCAATGCCGAACACCCGCCTTCTCCCCGACACCACCTTGCAGTCTCTTAGATTGTTTCTTCTACCTAAGACGCCTTCCACCTGTGTGCACCTTCCTCCGCCCTATCTTCCTCCCTCTTCATCCAACTTAATCCAGAACTCTTCTCACTGCTCTGACTGACACACAGCTTGTGGGTCATTATTAACATCCAACATCAGTCCTGCGATTCCCAGCTTCAGCCTCATGATCCTGGCAGACCGTTCACGATTAAAAACTTCCTCTGGCCTCAGATACACAACAGAAACTAAATGTCAACATCATCAAATTGTTATTTATTATTTAGTTATGTGTTTTCAAACAAAAGGAAGCTGTATTACTGAATGTGTGTTAGCGTTTGGTTTATTTAAAGGTTTCTAGCCCGGATCGCTGTGACTCACACGTGCAATCATCAGTGATTCACTCATCAACAGATTCAAAAGATCAAATTCCCAAAATACGCAGTGAAACTTTTTCATATGTCAGCCTGTATTCAGAACTTTTTATAGCACTGAGTAGGCCCAGAACAAAAAAACAGCGAATACTCGGAAAAATAAATGAATATTCTCATGACATTTTCTATTTACGGCTTTAAAAAGCAACTATTGATTGAACAAGTTTAATTTGGATTTTCTCTGATCCACACTGGATCAAAAGTATATAAGTCTAATATATACATACACCTACAGCAATGTTTGGTTAAGGTTAATATTAGCCGGGTTATCTCTCCCTAACCAGAGAGTGGGATCATCGTCCTGCTGGAAAACTCAGCTGTGTCCAAGTTTCAGCTAACGGTTGACTTGAGATGACGTTGAAGAATTTGGGCCAGGCTAAAACATTAAAGCCCCACCTGACAACATCAATGAAGAAAATCACAGGAATTCAAATTTAAATAAAGTTTAAATATCATTTCCTCTTACTTGTTGGGTGATAACAGCCTCCGTGCTCACTCGGTGTGATCAACACACTGATTTCTAACCAAAACACGGCCACAGTGTATTTATTACAGTCCTATAACTTATTTATTACTGTCTCACTTCAAAGCATCATTAACTTAACAATTTTCCCCACTCATGTCACCAGAGGGGCTCCACAGAAAGCAATTCAGTAACATATGAATGTCATTATTGGGACACAGGGTCACTTTTTCAGGGTCACATAGAGCTGAGGTCGTCTCCTTCAGGTTAGCATCCTAGCTTAGCGTAGTTACAGACTTTTTGTCTCTGTAAGCGTCTCCTTGCATCTGTTTCCTCTTTGCTCATTTGAAGGATAATTGCTGCTCCTGCTGTGCTGCTGACATTCAGCTTTACCTGCTGCTGATAATCAGGGTGTTTCTCCTGTGATGGTGTCGTGTCACAATGTCAAGAAACCAAACATGGGACTGAAAACTCTGGCTTTTGTCCACAAATCAATATTGAAGTTATAAAAGAATAAAATGGCAATGAATGCTGATTGGTAGGATATTTATTTATTGTGAGAGACTATTAATGTTAAATTAAAAAATAATGATTATTATAGTGAAAAACAAACTGTTGTGGAAAATGTTTCTATGCAGTTTGACTTGACCGAACAGCAACAAGCTTTACAGCACAAATATGAAAAGACTAATCATCACAGAGCCGGTGCTGCGAAACATCAAACGAGTAAAGAGTGTCACCCACACTTTTTGGAAATCTGCACCTCTGCGCTCGACTGTTCAGCTGCCACCTACCTGAGGGTCTTTCCCTCTCTCAGGTCGTACAGGGAGAAGAATATGTCCGTGTCCTCGCCTATGCTGTTGTAGGTGAAGCTCTTCAGGTTGACCAGCAGGTGATGAGGTACTGGAACTCTACAAGGTTCCCCATGTCTCTGCCGGGCGTTGTCGCCCTAAAACACACAAAAAAGCAGCCAAACAAACAAAATATATAAATACACATATTAGAATACAAAGACACTGTGTGACAGTCTTAGTAAACATATACACCAAAGCCTCCTGGCTGAACAGAAACATCTGTAAACTATGAAATCTTCTTAAAATATACAGTTTTTATTTAACTTTAACTTGATGTGTAAGTACATAAAAAGGTTTTTACACATATTACTGCTCAAAAACATGCATTAAATTTCTGGTTCTTTAGCATCAAAGTGATGCTGCTGCAGTTTAAATCTGCACACCGTCTCAGCGTGATGCCTAAGAGTCACACTCACACTCTGTGATGAAAGTATCAGCATTAGGATAGAGTGCTGCAGAGCACAGCTGTGGGTCTAAGCTTGTAAATACTGTAGAACATAACTGTTTAAATGCTTTGAATTCATATCTCCATTTATTTTAATGATAAAAGGCACGAGAAAAGTTTCTTGGTGACATGAATGATATATGGAAAAATTTTCAAGGATTCTCTTTGTGACCCAGTTCAGGCTCTTTACTCTGTAAAATGTACTACTACTACTACTCCTACTACTACTACTACTACTACTACTACTACTACTCCTACTCCTACTACTACTCCTACTACTACTACTACTACTTTGTAGCAGTTTTTTCTGCTGGAAGTATCTTAATTGTGTCCCATAAATCTGTTTGGGCCTCTGAAATGAGAAGTAAATGAGACACGTTACTGCAGTACGTCCACGTACCTGTGTGGTGCTCTGCTGTACGCTGTGTCTGCTAGAAAGATGCTGCGAAAGAGAGACACAAACTATTAGCTGAGGGGTCGATCATCTCTCTCCTCTTATTGTTTCCTTTTTCCCTCCTTGGTTCATCATCATTCGCTGTTTCCTCTCCTCCTTTCCTCGCCTCCTTTTGCTTCCTATTTTCACTTCGCCTTTTCAGGTCTCTAGTCTCCTTTACTATCCTATGTCCTTGCTTCATTTCTCATTTATTGTTTCCTCTTCTTCACTGTCTGCCCCAATGACTGTCATTGGTCGGCGCTCCTTTTTTCATTTCCTTCAACACTCAGTCCTTGCTTCTTCTCCTTTAGCTTCTCCTTCTTTCCTATTTTCTCTTTGTTTCCTTTCATTTATTAACCTCTTCTCATTTTGTTTCCTTCTTTTATCTCCTTGTCAGTTTACTCCTTTTTTCACCATTTCCTTGCTTCCTTTCCTTCTCTATCGGCTTGTTTTTCTCCTTCATTGTCTAATCTCCTTTGTTATTTTTTCTATTCTCTTCTTGTTTCCTTTTCTATCCTATCTTGCTTTCCTATCCACTCTCATTTATCTGTCCTCTCCTTACTGTATATCCTCTCCTTCACTATACTCTGTCCTTGTTTCCTCTCCTTTTCTGTATTCATCTGCTTTCTTGTCTGATTTCATTTTCTCTTCTCGTTTCCTCTTCTCATCTCCTTCTTGTGTTGTCTCCTCGTCTCCTCTCCTCTCTTATCTACTTTATCGTGGTCCATTCCCTTCCCTCATTGTCAGAAGATAAAAATGCCCCAGAGACTCATTACTCCGAGTTGTCTCCCTAAATCTCGAGTGTCTGTGTGAGACGAGAAGCAGCAGGAAGTAAAAACCTGTTTGATGAATCCGGGTAATGACTGTCAGCTGAAAGCTATCTGCAAATATTACAACCTGAGGAGGGAATTAAACGATGGCAGCCGTATCTCCTCATCTTCTTTATATTGAATTTTTAAAACCTGCTATTAAAAAGGTTGGGACAGTCGATTAAAATAAGGTCATGCAATAATTTAAACAAATTGTTTCTTAGCGCTACTCGAGCACACAAAGCTCTTTACACAACACGTGTCAGTCACACACATCTTGGGGTGTGTGTGCGACTCGGAGTTCTCCTTCTTCAAGGATACGTTGGTGTGCAGACTGGGAGAGCCAGGAATTGCACCAGCAACCTGCAAGTTACTAGCTGCCCTGCTTTACCTCAATCCTCACTGGATTGACTTTAGATTGTACAAAGACAAAATATCAAAGTTAAACTCAGCTTTATTGCTTTTTGGATAAAGACAGCAACATATTGCAACTCGCTGGGACGGGGCAGGATTACTGGTTACTGTGATTCTGAACGCTGAACATTTTTCCTCTCTTCTGTGATAAACGCTTTTATAGCTGCTTTTCTGTCATGTTTCCAGGCTCATAATGAGCCAAATGTTTTCAGTGGGTGACATTTCTGGATTGCAGACGCGCCTACAGAGACGCTGTCTTGCTTTAAATAATCAGGTCAGTGTGTGCAGAAGCTCAGGCCTCAGACTGTCTTTGCATGCAGCCTGCTGTTTGGCTAAAAGTGAGCGCGGCCTCAGAGGGCGAGGAGCTGAAACTCCAGGATGAACCGAGGTGATGCATCAACGCTCGGTATAAGATGAATAATGATTTATTTTCAGCTGTGAATGATGCAAAGCTCCACCAGCAGTCCAAGAATATAAACACAGAGCAGCGACCAACTAATTCGAACTGCTAAACTCTCTCACACACACAGACTGACAGAGCCAATCATGTTATTACTGTTAGCTGTTTCCTGTGTGTGTTTTAAGCATTATGCAAGTTTTCCACATTTCTTTAAACATGCGAATATATTTCAACACTTATCTCTTTAAATTTCAACATTTTAATATGTTGTCATAGCAGGATTTCAAAGTCTGCTTTTAACCTGCATATCAGGGCTGCAAGTTAACTCTCAAATAATCCATCCGTCCATTTTCTTCCACTTTATCCAGTTCAGGTTGGAGGGGGAGCCTATTTGAGCTGATCTGAGCTTGATGTGAGAGGTGGGTACACCTGGACAGGTTGCCAGTCTGCTGTAGGGCTGACACAGAGAGACAGAGGATCATTCACACCTGACCCCGCTACCTGCACCTCTTTGGGCTGTGGGAGGAAGCCGGTGTACCTGGAGAGGACATGCAGTCCACACACACAGGATCCAAACCCAAGATGTTTTGGGTGCACGATGCTGACTGTTAAATAATCTCCATTACAGTCATGTGTCTATTTCAGAAGTTTGGCGGTGTGTGTGTAACAGCCGATTAACTGCTAATGTCAGATGTGCATTTGCATGCGACTGTTGGAAAGTTTCCTCTCGCTCACATTGTGTTCTCGTTGCGTGATTGTTTTCCGCCCGTGATGAATCTCGCACTCTCCTGCTGCTGCACTAATGCAAATTCATCACTGAGATCATTAAAGATGAATCTCATCACATCTTCTGTTTTTCTTCTTCATCTCGACCTTTTCAAATGTCACATTTAAAAACATTCATTTCCACGACTCAAAAACAAATCAATCAGCAGTAACTTTGTAACTTTCTTTCTCTGCCCTTCTTTGTCTGTTTGTTACCAGAAAGAACTCGCGGTTCTCTCTCATCCTCACTCTTCCTCATCTTCGATCCAACCATCTATAACTTAACCTTTTTCTCACTCCCTTCCTGTTTCTCCCCCTTTCTCACGTCCCATCTCCAGATCGGTCTCCAAGCAACAGAACAAAGGGGAATCACCAGGACTACGGTGTTTGGCTGGTGAAGCTATTTAAAGCAGGACTGATGTAAGAAAGGGAACATCAAGTATTACCGACAGACCATGAACAACAAAGAATGCGTCTCATGCTGCAGCACTGCACTCTAATAGGCTAGAGTTATTTAATAGTTACATATTTTTTAAAGCAGCCTTGGAAATGTGACGCAGGTGATAAGTTATCCACAGACTCCAGTATAACAAAGATAAATACTTCATTTTTAGTATTTCCAGCAACAAGTTTAACCTTCATGAAATACGTTCATGTTTTGTTTCAGTGTTTCGTTTTTGGTTCGCTTCTATTGCTTATTATAGCCTGCACAATCTAATTGTCCTGAGTGCTGCAAATTACAGGTTAAAAATCTTGACAGGATTTTGTCTGCGGCATTATCTTCATCTTTGTTAATTAGTTTGCTTTACACCTGTTGTCTGATCGACCAATCACATGACAGCAACTCAGTGCATTTAGGAAGTCTGACATGGTTGAGAAAATCTGCTGAAATGTAAAATTAGCATCAGAATAAAGAAAGGTGGTTTCGGTTCACGTGCGTGGTTGTTGATGCCAGACGGGCTGAGCTGAGTCATTCAGAAGGTTCAAATCTGCAGGGATTTCCCCGCACAGCCACCTCTAAGGTTTACACAGAAACACAACTCTCTCAGTGAAAACGCCTTGTTGAATTCAGGGGTCAGAGGAGATTGTGGCTGAGTGTTTTGAGCTAACAGGAAAGCAACAGCATCACAAAGCCCAGATCATCTCATTTCTTAACCACAACAATGACTTGACCGTATTCTAATGGCCTCCACAACAGATCTTAGCCTAACAGATCACCTCTGGGATGTGCTGGAACACGAGATTCATGTCATGGATGCAGCTGACAAATCAGCAGCTGTGTGATGCTGTCACGTCAACATGGACCCAAGTCTCTGAGGAACGTTTGAATCTGAGAAATGAAGAATTAACACAGCTCTGAAGGAAAAACTGGGTCCAGCCTGGTAAGTTGTACCTAATGAAGTGGTCAGTGGATGTATATTGGCATGTTCCTCTTTGTCGAGTCATCTGTTCATGTCCCCTCTTGTTATTCCCGTCCAAACATCCATTTTTTTCTGCCTATCCGGCGTCGTGTGGCGGGGGCAGCAGCCTAAGCAGAGAAGCCCTGACGTCCCTCCAGCTTATCTCAAGGAACACAGATGCATTCCCAGCGCAGCTAAGAGATATATAATGCCTCCAGCATGTCCTGGGTCGGCCTCCTTCCTGTGGTACATGCCCCCAGGAGGCGTCCCTAATCAGACATCCAAAAGAGTAGCAGGTCTACACTGAGCCCCTCTAAAATGTCTGAACTCCTCGCCCTATTTCTAAGAGTGAACCTCGTCCACCCCAGCTGCCCGTCTACCAAGATGTTGGTACCTTGGTGGCCACTTGGTGCTGCTTGGTGTGACCTCGTCCCCGGACTCTGCTTCCTCTACAGAAGTCGTGCCATTGGGATTAAGACCGCCCGACTATATCCTCAGTTGAGCAGCACCCTGCCTCTGCTGTACACAGTGAGTCGAGCACCGCTGAGTTGCCTGACGGTTTGGCAGAATCACCTCAAGGAGTCTGAAAGTCTTGTTCCATGTGGCCTCACCAAACTCCTCCCACACCCTAGTTTTTGCTTCATCTACCGACCGAGTGGCGCTCTGCTTGCCCTGCTGGTACCCAGCAGCTGGATCTGAAGTCCCACTAACCAAGCCCGATAGCACGCCTTCTTCAGCTTGATGAAGAAGCTCCCTTCACCTCCGGGGTCCACTATTTGGTTTGTCACCATTACAACAGGCACCAACCGGCTCCAGCTCCTTGCAGCACCCTCAGCAATGAAGGTGAAACATCTGCTTTAGGGAGCAGTTGGAGATCTCCTGGACCAGAGTCTGTCCAGCATCCTCCCACGCCACCCGATCCAACGCACCACCGGTGATCAGATGACAGCTCAGCTCCTCTCTTTGCCCGACTGTCCAGAATTAAAACTTGCTGGAAGATATTGTTCCTTTTACATATTTACATTTGAATATTGGTCAAAAATGTGAAATTAGTCGATGATGTCACAAAGCTCTCTGACATGTGGAGACACAAATGTCACGATGAAAGGAAAGCAGATGAAAGAAACTGAAAATATCTTTGACATTTCTGTTCGGATCAATCACAGCTTTACTCTTTCATATCTAAGAGGTTTTTCTTTTGCTGTTACACGTTCTAAGTGCTCATTTTGTTCAGTCACAGGGAACAAACTATCACTAAGGATTTAAAAGCTTAACTTAAAAAATACAAAACAAGCTATAAAATATGTTTTCTGAAAAAACAGAAGATTGATTATAATGTTTAACTTTGATGTGCTTAAATCTCACATCTTTATGTGCAGTATTAATTATTCAACACATATTCACTCTGATTTGTAAATATTTACTGTACTTATAGTGATTTATGAGTTTTCTCATAGATGATAACGGTTTGAAATTGTGATTATTCAGGACCTTCACTCTGCTCTTATTTCTCATGCTGTCTGCAGGCTACGACTGTCATTCATTCCATTCATTTATGATATTTAAAGTAGCACTCAAATACAACACAATAGCTCCAATAACAGGAGAAATTATTCAAATTTATGCTTTTGTGAACAAGTTAACAGAGGCGGGACGGTAATTTTACAGTCGGTGGTTCAGATCATCAGATTAGCAGTTTTAAGGTATCCGGATGAAGCCACCAGCAGAGCGACGTCAGATTTCCTGCTGGTGTTCAAAGTTTCAAACGTCGTGTGCATGGGACGAAGGTCACGTGAGCGAGAAACCTGTTTCTGGTAACAGGCGCCGCTCGAGGCCAGAGAAAAGATGAAAAGGGAAAAAGACGAGCAGCATGACGCAGAATCGAAACGCGTTTCGAGCATCAAAACTCTGATTCACTGCAGCCACAGAGACAACAAACGGCTCATAGTTATTACTCACGTTACAACTTCCTGATTCATCCTCGTATAGACAAAAGATTTTAGTCTAAAATGAACGGTTCAGTGAGCTATCTGCTGATCTTCACCAGTCGCCACACGATTACTTTGCCAACTGTTGAGGCTTGTTGCTGTTTAAACCTCGGGGTCCAGCCTGCTCTCTGATTGGAAACTAAAGCTTCCCTCCAACTGTGAAGTGAATCCAGCCTGCAATCACCAAGGTGCAGCCAGCAGGTCTGTGTTAGACCCAGAAAATGGAATAAAATGTGCTCTCTCAGGGAGAAAAGCAAATAAAACATTAATCTCCGATAATTCCACGTCAGAGCTGTTCACTCTGTTTCTGAGGAATCAAAAAGCTTTCTCACAGTAACACGACTTTATTAATTTATCAGTACGGTGACAAGCTGAGACCTGCAAATGCAAACAGTCAGTCACTGATATTCATGTGCACAAAATTCACTTCATGTTACTTTTATGTGCTAATACTTGAAATGATTTAATTATGTGAAAAATGAGAAAACTGCTCAGTTTGCAGCACAACCTGCTCATCAAATTCAATCTCCTGCTGCTGGTTATTTAACATCCTTCTCATCATCTGCGGATAACGAAAATTAAAAGAATTGCAAATAATATGCAGATTTTAGAGGATGCCTGATTAAAAGCTACAACCTACAAATGAGATGAGCAGCAGGATATTTTTGTCTTATTTTACACAACGTATCCAGGATGTGGGATCACTGTGTGCACTACAGCCGTCATGAATCCAGTGTGTGAGCAGGTGTGACTTGACTTACCATCTTATAAAGGTCTGACACGCTGATCTGGTCTTCATCAACCATCTCAAACTCCTTTCTCGGCACCAGGTCCAGACCGAGGTGTCTGAAACACAGAAGCAAAGACGGAGAGCAGCAGAGCGTCTTTCATTTAACCTTCACAAAAAGCATTTCCAACACAGGTACACAAACCTTTCCAGCCACCTCTGCACACACAAGCGTGCACCGCCTACACACACACACACACACACACACACACACACACACACACACACACACACACACACACACAGAGTATATTAAAGTAATTTCAGAGGGGCTCTGGGGATATTGTTCCTCAGCACTATTTTCTGTTCAATCTCAACAACCACATCTTTCAGTTACAGGCCGGTGGACCTGCGCACTCGAAGGCGCTGTGCACAATGTTCTTCCGAATGAATAAGATGGCCTCTTAAACTGTGAATGAGAAACTAAACGTCCATCTTTGATGTGTTAACGTGCGCATCCATCAAGGCTGAAATCGGGTTAAATCTGGTTTGAAAACCAAACTCTTCATCACTGCCAACCACAGCTTCAAAAATGCAATCAGGTGTTTATGTATTTGTATATGTCAAGTGAAAGTAAAGGCGTAAAGGCTTGAGTGGAAACAGAAAATAAAAACACAGCCTGGGGTTTGAGGGTAAAGCTGAATGGGTTGTTAAAGGTTTCTAACGACACTATAATTTACTGCTTATTACTCATCTTTGTACATATCTAATCAAGTATGTCTGACGCTGCTCTGAAGCCAGGCGCTGCACATTTGTGGGCTGCACCAGCAGGAGCATGATGAGATATCTCTGATCGTGGCTCCAAACGAGGGTCCTTCACCTCACACAGAGGTTCAGAGTTGGCTGCTGTGACGGTCGTCTGACTAAAGACAGCCTGAGGCAAAGGTTTGACACTGTGTGAAGTTCAGGATGACTCAGAATATCAGTCCTGCAACGACCCAGAGAGGAATGTAGTGATGAGCAATGATCATTTGGAGACTGGCACTGAGGAGAAAAGTAAAACACATTGAAGCAGCATAGATGGAGGTCAAGTCTAGTTCACGTGTGGCAGCAAAAGCTTGTTTGTGCCCTCCAGCTGTTCTCACCGAGGATGTAGCATGAACCGACACAGCAGAAGGAAGTGCGTCTTTGCACCACATCAGTATTATCGGCGTACACACATCAAACGTGTAACCCTGAAACCTCACATTCAGGCTCCTCAGACACACTAAATGTCCTCATGCTGGAGACACTTGACCCGACAAATGTTTTTCATTCATGGATTCATTGATAAGTTGTGTTCTCCATGCACACACTTCCATGCTCGTGATGCATCAGGAACAATGGAGCCATTATTTGAAATGATGAAAGCGAGCTTGTTTTCCTGCAATGCAACCTTTCACCATGAACTGGCTTTCAGGCTATAAATTACGTCTGCTGCTCTGTTACATGACACGTCACTTCTTTTTACCAGCTGGAGACTGAATTAGCAGAGAGCAACAGGATAAGTAGCACCTCATTAGCTCCTTTTTGGCCCTTTTGCAGCCTAAAATGATTCACTGAGCTGCTTCTCTCTTTAGCAAAGCCACTGACTGGACGAATAACTCTGCTTTACACTGATGTGCTAAAATCACATCGTCGATAAGTAGTTCCTACTTATATCTAAATGTGAACTCGATTAAAGCAGCATCAGTAATGACTGGAAGCAGTCACATGACCTGAAACACCCCGCGGTACCCTGAATAATTCTTTTACTATTAATTATAATAAAAGCAGCACTTATCGCCATCCCCCTTCATATCACCTCAGTGTGTCTCGTCCCCTCTGACAGCAGAACGAAGCTTTAAATAACCTCTGAAACACTCCCAGTATTAATCACTCAATCCTGAAGCAGCGGCCATTTCTTCTCCATTTCATCTGTTGCCCATCAGCCTTTCATCGTGCTCTCATGAGACTTTAACAACCACGGCTTCATCCACCTGCCTCCAATCACACTTGTGTTTGCCCCGTGTAGGAGTCAGGGGAGCGGGCTGAGCTGCCATCAGCATGTAAGTGCAGCGTGTGTGAATTATTATTCAGCAAACAGACTTCAAACTTCAAACATCTAAAGGGTCATTCTAAAGAAAAAGCCACTAACCATGTGCTGCATGTGCTGTTTTAGCTTTGCTCGTTCTGCCTTTGTTTTGTTTGTAGCGTTTGTCCCGGTCAAAATAAAAGCTTGTTTTTTGTTCACCTCACTCGGCCTCCGCTGTCTGCATTTAAGCGCTTTCTCCTCACGCCAGAAGTCACAACGGTGCACGTAACACACTATGTTGCCAAACGTATTCACTCACCCATCGAAATCATTCAGTTCTGCTTTGTGGAAGAACGGCTCGCTCTCAAGAGCTCAGTGAATTCCAGCGTGGTACCGTGATAGGATGCCAGCTGTGCACGTCCCGTCATGAAATATCCTCACTATGAAATATTCCACAGTCAGCTGTTAGGGGGATTATAGTAGAGTGAAAGTGATCGGGAAAGATGTGGTAAGCCACGTTGGGGCCAGTGGATGCTGAGACGCATTGCGGGCAGATGTCACCAACTTTCTGCAGATTCAATCACTGTGGACCTCCAACCTTCATGTGGCTCAAGGACAGTGCACAGAGATCTTCATGGAATGGGTTTCCATGGTGACCAGCTGCATCCATAAAGACGTGGATGAGCAAGTTTGATGTGGAAGAACCTGACTGGCCTGAACAGTCCTGACCTGAACCCAACCCAACACCTTTGGGATGAATTAGAGCGGAGAGTTCTCGTCCAACATCGGTGTCTGACCTCACAAATCAAAAATTCCAATAAACACTCCTAAACCTGTGGAAAGCCTTCCCAGAAGAGTTGGAGCTGCTATCGCTGCAAAGGGTGGGCTGACATCACGTGAAACCCTGTGGATTAGGAACGTGATGTCACTCAAGTTCATATGTGAGCGAATGCAGACGAGTGAATACGTTTGGCAGAACAGTGTATAAGGCTCAGGTCATAAATGACCCCACTTGGTCAGCTGGTGGTTGAAGCAGCATTACGTGACTATGAGCAACCGATGCACATGATACAGCGTAAAAACGTAAAAGAATACTCGTGTTTGGAGAGGTGCTTCATCAGAAATGGATGAAGCACCTCTCGTCTGGGTCAGACAAAGAACAGCTGCCCTTTAAACTATGTGTATTATTTGTATGTGTGGGAAATGTGCAAATGTGTCTTAATGCAACATTTGTGTGGTTTCTCACTCGTTGCCCCAGTCGAGTCTGACGGTGATGTGTCTCTTGACGTCTCTGCTCTGGTCTTGTGTCAGGTGACCGGACAGCAGCTGCCTTCTCAGGTCTATCAGCTCCATCATCACGTGGCGAACCTTGTAGAACAGATCCACCTTGTGTTTCTGAAGGACGGAGAGAGAAACAGGGAGGTTTCATTCACCGTTCGTCACCACTTAAAATTCATCTTCAGCTCGTCAATACGCTGATTCAGCCGTACTTCTCTGGCAGGGCACCGCAAGGCCGTTTCTGTGCTGTTTATTAAAGGCACTCAAACAGCTCACAGTGGAATAAAGCTGAGGTGAGCGAGTTCAAAGCCTTAGCAGACAATTTGTGTTTAGTGTTGCAGAGACATGTGTCAGCACGTGCTGGCCATGAAGAACGGAAACATGGAAAAAAGATTTTATGAACATGCGTATTTACTGCGTTGCATGTACTTGCCTCACAAATGTTCAGCACAAAAACACACAGAAGAAGTCCCTGTAACAGCCCATCCACTCCACACATGAGTGGATGGCCAGAGACTCCCAAGTTTGAAAGTCCAACTTTACAGGATTAAAAGCACATTTAAAAGCTTTGGTCTCTTTAGCTAATTCCCAGCTTCATGAAAACATCCAGCCCTCAGACATGTGCCCGCTTCACCACAGCTGATCATCGTCCTCCATCTCATCCTAACCCCACAGTCCTTTGTCTTTAGCATCACATGCACAGTTTCCACCCTGTGGCCATCAGCAGGCAGCTGTTGTTAATCTGGGCCACGACCGGATCAGAATGGAAATCTTATTCTTATGGTTTATGTTTGATTTAGCCCAAATCTTTTCAACAGGCTTGGGACTGGCATTAAGAGTATGTAACTTTATTAAATGAGTGATACAGAAAATAATTATTTGTTATAATGTTATTATGATCCACTGTACAGATTAGACTGTATAGTGGATCAATAAATTCATACGGCAACTGAAAAACAAAGATGAAGCAAAAGCTCATGTGCGTCTAACACAAGAACACTGGAACCTGCTTCTCCCATAGCGTGCTATTATTAGCACTTTAATTTTGCCCTGCAGGGCTTCAGCAGCAGGGAGAAGGGTTAAATGTCTATTCAGCTGTTGGCAGAACAGCGAGATGGGCAGAAATTAGGCTGTGCAGAGGTGCGTGTGCACACACACACACACACACACACACACACACACACACACACACACACACACACACACACACACACACACAATGGTTACATGTTATAACGAAGATTTCATTTGGGTTTCCAAGTATATTATATGCACACATACACATGTAGGTGCTTATACATGCATGAGCAAGTTGCAAACATATGCTGACAGCAGGAGGGCAGTGAGCCCGGCTAAAATCTCTCTGCCTTTCTCCATCAGTCTTGGGTTTATGTACAGATGAGCTCTATTATATAACTCCGGTCGTAGTGGAGGTGGAGCTGCTTTAGAGAACCTTAACTTGAAATACACCAGAGTTAGGTGAACACAGCTGAAGCAGCTCTGCTATCAACTGGCAACCTGCCCGCAAGGTTTCTCTGCTGTTCTGCTGATGTGAGCTGGCAGAGAACGTTTTTAGATGAACTGAAGCCCTGAGCAGACATGGGCACTGTGCAGCCTCGGGACGCATCCGGTGCTTTGGTTGTCCCTGTTAGTTCTCAGTTTATTTGAATCTACGTACACATGTGTGAACGCAGCTTCACTGTAAATGTGCTGAAACACACATTTATGAACGATCTGAGTTCGTTAACCCTGAAAGATGTTGAGAACTGCCTCAGTTCTTTATAACATAGAAGATTTGAACTGCGACGGCTTCAGCTGCTCGTGAGGGGAGGGCTGTGCACCTGCCTGCAGAACAGCTGTGTCACGGTTTGTCAGAGGAAGGAAACATGCCACTGTTAGCATCTTTACTGTCGTAAGTTAGTATCTAATCTAAAAGCATCAGCAGGATGGATTCATGCTGTTTACAACAACTTCTTCCAGCAGAATTTGAGACTCACACCGAGGAACATTTTTACAATCTTCTTTTGTTGAGCCCATGAAAACTGTTTTATCAGTTTCCTGGTTTTTGCTGACAGGTGCGACTCCCAGTGGGGTCTTCTGGATTCAAGGTTTGGTATATTGTCCAATCAAAGATGCTTACCTTGGTTATTTGACTTATCGTTGCCTTGAAGCATGATCATGAACTTCAGCAAGTCCTTTTGACCATCTCTAAATACAGTGAGTTGGTTGATTATAACAACTTCAGAAGGCTGGAGATGAAGGACTCTACGCCTCACAGCTGAGTAAATGCATCAGACTTGTGGTGGACACCAGCAGAAACACCCATTTCCATGCATTCTTTGACTAAAATAAATCAGGACAGCCACCAGCAACTTGCACTGTTCAGATGCAAGCTAGTTAGGCTAAATAGGACCAGAAGACAAAGCTAATATTAGCAGGTGATTTCCCAGCACACCTCCGTCTCCCAGCACACAAATGATACCACGGCCAATCAAAGCTATACACCTTCAATGAGAGGGATTAACATGACCTGGTTCTGAAAATGTACTAATAAGTCAAAATGTGGATACAGTTATCCCATACAAGTTACCAGCTGTGATACTTGCATATTAAAAACTGGCGTGAGGGAGTGAAACTACTGATGCTCCCTTCAGGGGTAAAAATAATGGATCCATCTGTGTTCTACCTGCAGTTTGGACCCGAGTGCACAAGACGATGTTTAAAATACGGTATACATTTAAAAGCTTAGTTCCCTGTAGTAAGAGACGTTTATAAATCATAATCCAACTCTGAGGCGATGTGTTTACGGTACTGGCATCCATTCCTCAGAAGCTCCAACTGGGAACCTTGTTGCACCGTCCCGTCAGAGTTGAGAGATTAGCATGATTTTGGCGCTGAGCGCAGCTAGTGCTTGAGGTTCAAAATATTACAACTTTTAGCCAAAGAGTGCCACATTTCAACCGGTAGTTGCTTAGCAACAACAGGAGTCACGCACGACAGTTCCCCTCAGCATCTGTTTAGCATTTGTTTTTCAGGAGATACCCAGTGGACATAGAAGCTAACGCGCTTTGATATGCGCTTTACGAGAGCTCATATTAATATAACCGTTAGAGACGCAGAAACATTTTCCAGAGTAAAACCTTTTACACGTCATTCTTAAAAACAGAGAAAAGGACAAATTAATTATCTTCATTAATAATTTGTGCATTGGATTTTTTTCCTTATCAATTTAAATGTCATAAAAATTAAAAAACAAGACAAACAAGTAGAAAGAAAACAGATGCACAGTACAGTTTTCTTTCTTTACCTGCTGGTCCAATCTACATTTAACCCAAGGCGTGCCTAATTATTGGACCTCAAGGTACGTGCATGTACGTTTCAAGGGCCGATGTTCCCACACAGTCAAAATTAGTTGGGCAATGTCTGTGTCTAAAACCCACAATCCACTAGAGCCGTACAGAAATCCATCCACCCATCGTCTGCTGCTTCAGCACTGTGCAGTGCTGGAGCCCAGAGCCCAGCTGATGCACCCTGGACAGGTCGATCAATCTGTTATACCCAGAGAAAGAAAACCAATGACACTCACATTTAAACCTTGAGCTAATTAGGGATCACCTGTTAAACTATCATGCAATCCTTTGGACATTAGGACGAGTATCCAGAGAGAAGCCATCCAGCATGGGGAGAAGAGCCAAACTCCACACACAGGCCCCAGCTGGTCAGTGGATCCTCAGCCAGGACTTTGTTGCTGTGAGCTGACAGTACTAATCCCTGCACAGCTGTGCTTTACCAAGGCATCATTAAGGTGTTGCTGTTTAATGAAAGTATTTGATGCTATCTGATAAGTTTTTGTTCTGTATCCATCACACATGTTGGTGAACAGTTAGGGGTTGGTTATGTATGACGCCTTTGCTCTCCCTGACGTCGATGGGTTTTCATGCATGTAGAGGTAACAGAGTTCCTGAGCTGGTTGTAGATCTAAGATGGATAAAGCCTTTAGTGGGTAGAGACTCAAAGAGGGCTAAGGGACAAGCTGCTGTAGCCCTAAAGGTACAGTAACCTACTTTATTTCCTGAGAGTGTGAGAGTGAGCTTCAGCATCCACACAAGAAGCCAGAAAAACAAATGCTCTATTTGCACATGATTTCATATTTTATGTTTGTCTGCACATCCTGAATATTTATTCCTCCATGAGGGCATCCTGGTCCCATCATAGTGTCCAGATCAACCAGTCACAATGAAAGTTTGTGGTAAAATGCTTCCTTTCTTCATTATTATTCTGGGAATCCAGCAATCTGAGAAAGAGTAACTAAAGATGCAAACACTGATATAACAGGATGATTCGACAAGCAAAAAACCCAAATCTCTAATATAATGAATTTATTTGACATGTTCAGATAATCAGTTTTCAGCTTGCAACCTCGTTGGTCAACCTCAGGCAGGAATAATATACATTATTTAAAACTTGCTTTTATTGAACAGGGTCCAGTGTTCATATGCTGCGTGTACACTACATATCATGACTAATCGTATTCATTTTATTTCAGGAAGTCTTTCCCATTTATTTACTGCACCAACTCTCACTGTGATAAACATTTACTGGCCAACAGTATCGTGCCCTTCAAAGTGTAGTAAGGCTCTTGAACCAGAGACAGCCCACAAATGGTGGTTCATTCACTGGGTTCATAAATAACACCTTATATATAGAAGCATTTACAGCACAAATGGTTGCCCTGTTCCCGAGGGTGCTCTTCAGTGAAAACAGCAGCACAGGAGTCAGCGATAAAGGCCCAGATCCCCGCAGACACAGCAGCGCCACGGAGGACACGAAAGCATACTGCTCTTATTTACAGTGCTGAGAAAGGACGATGCAAAGACCAAGGTTCACAAACACATTTCCACCAGAGACCTGCCCAGCACTCGGTGCCTATTGTGAGCCACACAGAGCCGCTGAGGTAAAACGTGCTGAGATAAAGAGCGAAATCTTGTGTTCCTCTCCTTCAGTGCTTTAGAGCGCAGGCACACTGCTGTAAAAGGTGGCAGAGCAGGTAAGGTAACAGCAGCCCTATGTCAACACAATGTGAGGCACAGCAGACTAATACTCCATTCATAACCTCA